TTTACTAGTACATGACCGTATTTATATATTGATAATATTTATTTTATTTCAAAGATAAACCCGCACGTATTTGTATTTCTTTTATCATTTAGAACAAACCCTGATTGCTGGATCTTACAGAAGATATGTAGAAGATCGGACGAGTATTTTGCAGCGTTCAAGTTCCGTTCTAGCGACGCAAAGATGGGTTCAAGGCCGGTAGCAATTTATTCATATTTGCATAAGGTTTCTTGATATCATAAGCCTCGAGTTTTGGGGTTTAACAAGAAGGTATAGGCTTACGGCAAAAGAATCGCTTTTTAACGCTGCTAATCAATTACTTCTATCTGTTTTGCGTCTATAAGGAGAAAATTGTTAAAAACGACTTATACTGAAGAACGTAGCGTCCATACAAATTCAGAAAGTTGCAATTTAGTTTCAAACAAATCATTCAAATATTACAATCTATAGTCATCAATTATTTTTCGATGCATTCATTTATAGTTAATTTTTTAAGTTAGTTTTAAGTGCATTGTATACAAAACAAAAAAATATATTATGAATTATTAACTAACCCTCCTCCCCCTCCTTCGTTCTTTCATGCTCCCCCTTACTTAATAAAAACACCCATTTAGAACCTTGTACTCGATAACCCCAGTTCTGTATAATCTACAAAAAAAATAATCTCCAAATTATTTAAACTGTTTGATTTGACGTTCTACTCTTATCTTTGGAGGAGATAATACTTTTTTGATCTGTCAACCCATCACAAAATAGATTACAGTTAATATTCCTGTCTGTGAGTGCCAATATGCAGGCAACTTGTTAAGGAGTTACAGTTGGGGTTCTGAAATACTTTTCCGCCCTTAAAAACGAGCAAAAGGGGATTGGGGCAGTTTCTGCCCTGAAGAAACCGAGCAAAAGGCTTAATGCTCGTTTCCTGCCTTATAAAAAGCGAGCAAAAGGCTTAATGCTCGTTTTCTGCCTTATAAAAAGCGAGCAAAAGGCTTAATTCTCGTTTTCTGCCTTATAAAAAGCGAGCAAAAGGCTTAATTCTCGTTTTCTGCCTTATAAAAAGCGAGCAAAAGGCTTAATGCTCGTTTTCTGCCTTAAAAAAAACGGGCAAAAGGCTTAATGCTCGTTTTCTGTCTTATAAAAAGCGAGTAAAAGGCTTAATGCTCGTTTTCTGCCTTATAAAAAACAAGCAAAAGGCTTAATGCTGGTTTTCTTCCTTAAAGAAAGCAAACATTAGGCTTAATGCTGGTTTTCTGCCTTACAGCAAGCAAACATTAGGCTTAATGCTCGTTTTCTGCTTTATAAAAAACAAGCAAAAGGCGTAATGCTTGTTTTTCTGCCTTATAAAAGCAAGCAAAAGGCTTAATGCTCGTTTTCCGCCTTATAAAAAAACAAGCAAAAGGCTTAATGCTCGTTTTCTGCATTATAGAAAGCAAGCAAAAGGCTTAATGCTCGTTTTCTGCATTATAAAAAACAAGCAAAAGGCTTAATGCTTGTTTTCTGCCTTATAAAAAGCGAGCAAAAGACTTGTTCTAAGACTTTTCTCTTTTTCTACTTTTTTATTTATGCTTTTATTATTTCTGCATTTCATTGCTATAATTTTTCATCGATAAAATCAAAAAAACACAAGAGTAGACATCCATGGTGTCCAATGAAAACTTTGTAATAAAAATAATTAAGAGCACATTTTTTCACGTCTTTCTTAGTAACTTCATAACTTCTTCATAACTTCAAATATGCAAATTTGTTACCATAGAAGAAAATTATTATTATTTTTATAAAGATTTATTCACACATAAAGATGTAAAGATTAGGTGTAGTTTAAATCTGTTTAAATAATTTGAGTATATAGTTATACAAAAGAAAAAAGAAAAATATGCAAAATTATGCACAAATAGGCAACATTGAATATTACTCATTACACAACATATTAATCATTTTTAGTTATTGTAAAATCATTGAATCCTTCAACATTGAAATTATTCCTTTTTATATTTAAAAGTTCTTGTAAAACCGAAATTTCCATGCACCCGGTCCAATATATTTCCATGCACCCGGTCCAATGGGACATCAAAGTAATTCATTTGTTTCTTAAATAACATTTTACATAAGATCAGAAAGATATACAGAACAATCATTTGAAATGGAAAATAAATTTCTGCCAAGAACTGTGTTATGGTCATTTTTGCCTAAATTAGAAAGAAGCTTATAAATGCAAAGCTTAGAACTTGCTTCAATAGTCTCATAGAAAGCAGTTCAACTCAAGCTTTCCTAGGTCTTTGCAGAGGCGCTTCTAACAGTAACTACAGGGAGTCCAAAAAAAACATGGGAATTAAGTGACCAATTGTATATTGTCTTTGCTATGAATTAGCATTGTAATACCTAATTTCAAAAGCCATAATATTATTATGTCTGCTAGAGTTTATTTTATGAAAAGTGTAAAAGACTGTAAAGATGTGTCTATATTGTCTATGCAAGGTGAACAGTGAAGACGGACAAGTTTACTCTGTTTGTATACTGCAATTTTATTGTTTTACTAAGTACAACCATATGCAGTCAAAACATAAACAAACAAAATGTGAACATAGCAGACGAAACTCTTACAGATTACAATTTTCTCCGTTGGTATCACTATACTAAATCAAAGAATTATTTTAAAAGACGATATCGAATTCGTCACTGAATTCCCATGTTTTTTGGGACACCCTGTATAGGAGTACAGAGGAAAACAAAATAATCAACAAGAAATGCCTGCACTCATCTGTCAACTCTGTATTACCCTGGTTTTTTTCTTGCATTCTATGAGGCAGAAAATGAGCATTAAGCCTTTTCCTCAGTTTCTACAATTCAGAAACCGCCCCAAACCCCTTCTGCTCGTTTGTAAAGGCGAGAAAGTATTATAGTTCCCCAACTGAGTAACAAAAGAATATACATTTAATTCATTTAATACCAAATTAGGCTTAACTAAGCATTTGACAGGATGTAAATGATTGATAAAAAACCAAATTTTTATAGAATAGCATTTAAAAAATTGTGTAGATTCAAAAATTAAACTTTTATCTCCAAGTAATATTTGTAGTTGATAGATTTGCTGTCGAAAATTTGCAAGTTTTAAAAAGTATTTATGTATCTTTAATACATAGATATTATGCTTTAAAATGTTGTTAAAAGTTATAACGGTTCTCTGCTTACTTCAAGGTAAATTGTTATGAATAAAAAAATCAAAACTAAGAACTTTGTGCAACTTTTATAGTAATAAAAAATGCAAAACAAATGGTATCATTTAATAAAAATATGATTAACAACCAACAAGATTTTAAAAAAGGAACATGCTTTTATTTGCTGTAAAAGTTCTAGATCTTTCTCAAGGAGCAAACAGAATTATCAAGAACAATACCTTTGAACACATAGAACACATTCTTAAAAATATTTAAACAATTTATAAAAGAAAAAACGGTAATTGGTTGAAAAGAACGGTCTGGAATTGTTTTATCAGGAACCCATTTAAAACAATTTAGAGAAAAAACAAATGGTGAAAATTAAATAGTTTTAATTTATCTGAATAATTGTAAATTCTGTCAGTTTAGTGGCCGAGTTACCTCACTTAACCCAAAATCTCCCTCCCGGAATAGGAGGGGGGATCGCCCTCTCTTTTTCCACCTTTTTTTGGAACCATTCTTGAAACCATTCTCCAAAACCATTGTTGGATTCGTTTTTGATCAAGAACACAAAGAGTGTAATGGGAATGGAACTATTGGAATAAGAGCGAACAAGAAACCAAAAATCTAGCAAAAGGCTCTTGTTCTAGAATGAAAAACAAACGATGAAAAAAAACCCTGGTTCTAAAAAAAAATATGGGCCATAATTTTAACAGATATTTGGGAAGCAAGGAGTGTTCCCTAATATAGGAAACCAAATTTCAGCTTTTTACTGATAATAATATTAGCATTGCATAAAAATCTAATTTTTATTCTTGTTTAATCTTCATTATCTTACTTTTAGCAGAGGCATCATCAATAAATATGATGGAATCATTATCAGAAGAAGGCTCATGTTCAAAATATGACTCCAGAGGTGTTTTATGGACTGGAGAGTATGGGATGTATACCAAAAAAAGCTGTTCTCTGACTCTGGGTCCTTTTTATGCAGGTTCTTCGGTGGAAATTGAAAAGGAAGCTTTTTGGTTTTGTGATGAAACTTTGGGAGATTTTGACTCCCCAGAACCAGACAGATCTGGTTGCACTGATCCTTGGATAGACAATTTAAATGACAATATGCTAAGTAGTTTATCTACTGGAGAAATATCGAGGATAATATCTGATGGTTTTCTACTTGAAAGTCCTGCCTTTGGAGTTCCTGAAGACTCTCTATGGAAACTAGGTGATTTCCTTCCTGTTTTGCTTGAGGAGGACATAACAATAGAGGAGGAACAAGCAGACATAACAACAGACACACCAACAGACGCAACAACAGCAGCAACAACAACAACAACAAACAATTATACAATAACCATTAATCCAACAGACGCACCAACAGCCCCACAAACAACAACATCAACAACAACAACAACTATATGGCCAAATAGAACAACAACAATAAAACCAGCAACAACAACAGTAAAACCAACAACAACAACAATAAAACCAACAACATCAACAACAACAACAACAACAACAACAGCAGCAGCAGGCATATGTTCAGAAATTGATTCTAGAAATAAAATATGGCATGCAACATACGATGAGTTTGCTTATCAGAATTGTGATTTTTGTGCAGATCCTTGTGAGAATCAAGCTTCTTGGTTTTGCGACAGAACTCTGGGACGTTTTAACACCCCAGAACCAGACAGATCTAATTGCATTGATCCTTGGATAGCTAATATTGATGAAATGTTTAACATTTTGACTGCTTTTGACATATCAGAAACAATTCATAATGGTCTAAAGGAATTAACAAGTACTCCTCCCCTGGGTGGAACAATATTAAAATTTGAAGAACTTCTTCCAAAAGTTCTTGAGTTAAGGAGAACAGAAAGCAACAGCTACAATGACAATGATGATTTCACAATTAATCTTGTCAGCTCAATCAATGAAATTTTTAACCAATCTGTTGGATGGACTGAAATTTCAGACTTGAAAAACAAATCCAAAACTGTAACAGATTATCTTGAAGCTTTAGACTACACTGGATATCTCTATGCAATTAAAAATAATTGCTCTAATTGTTCTTCAAAGAAAGAATTTAAATTTTCAAACATACATTTAACCTCAAGGACAGTGGAATTCAATATTACTGAAAGTGCAAAGGAATGTTTTTACTTTGATTCAGACCCAATATGTATTACGTCCAAAAAAGAAGAGGTAAGTTTTTTTTCATGAGAACATATTTAAATCACTGGACTTTAATTAATACAAATTAATAATACAATAATATTAATAAAAATAATAATAATTAATATTATTTGGTTGAGATTAGTATATTAAAAAAATCATTAAAATAAACTACAAGCAAAGTAATTTTATGTGAAAAAACTTATCACTTGAAGTGATGGCTTTGGAAATAAGAAAATGTCCATGGTCTTAAAAAATATTTTATTTATCAGGAGAAAGATGATGATTATGATTGTGATGTACTTGTTGCAACTATGGTTAGAACTACAAATGACCAAGAAATATTTCCAAATACTTTAACAGGAAAGTTAGATTTTATTTTAACAAATTTTGATTTTTTAGTTTAGGATTTGTAAAATTGTTCTCTGTTTCTTTATTTTAACAAATAATCATACTTTTTAGTAGATAATGTAAATTTTAAAATGTTACATTGTTATAGATCTGTACAAATAAAATTTTTTTTTAAAATGGGACAATTTATTACATTTTTGATGATTTATAAGACCATCAAAGTCCTCCAATTTTTCAGCTTCTTGCGTATGATTATCTCTGCCTTCCCTTGACATGGATACTTAAAGATGCTCCCCCCCCCCTCATAGGAAGGTGTAAATAAAAATTGTATTACAATGGACCAGACAGTCTGCTTCATCCTTACCATGTAAAACATTCATACAGGAATGATGATAAATGAGAGAAAATTTGGAAAAAAATTGATAGGAATTACTATCAATAACAAGACCTCAAAATGGAAAAATGATGTTACTATAATTTTTGATCATCAAACACATTCGGTAAAACTTTTATTTATATTCACAAACCTTGTCTAAGCTCCTTACTAGGATTATTTTAGAACCAAGCAACTTGCCTTTTTGTCCCCCGTACTCCTACTTGTGTGTTCTGGAATATTACAACTAGTTCTTGGTCCACATTGGGATGTAAGGTTAGGCTCAAAAAAAAATATCAAAGAAAATTTGATTTTAATAAATATTATTTGTTTGTTTAGTTTGACTATGTTTCTTCTACTCTGGACAAAGCAGTTTGTGTTTGTGATCATTGTGCCAACTTTGGAGCTATGTTGGACTGGGAAGGGAATGCTCCTGCCAATGATCCAAGTAAATATTATTTGAAGAACTTATAAATCTTTCATTTTAAAAACCATTAATTTAATCAAAAAGAAATCATTTGAATAAAATAATTAAGATTGTTTTTACCTATACATAATACCTCAGCCTTGAGTAAGTTATCAATATCTCTACTCTCCCTTTCCTGCTTCTTTCTGGTGCTGACTGAGATCATCCTTATGATGCAATTACAACGGTTTGTATCTTTAAAAATGCACTTAATTTTATTATGTCTTTTACTCTTGAAATTCCAGAACTTGTAAAATAAAAACAAAACATAAATAATATTAAATTAAATGAAAAGTGGGGGAAAAGTATGAAAAATCTGTACAAAGGAGAAATTGTAAAGTGGGTTTTTTTGCAATGTTTTTAATATTGTTCACTGATAATATTTTTAAGAAAACACCATGCAATAACTGTATTTTGATTATCCTTTGTTATGTAGCAATGTCTCAACAAGGAGAAAAAAAAAGTATTAGTCAGCTCAAACTCTAGGTTGCCAGAGACGGGAACTGAAAACCTCCCTACTTGCACTAATTTCCCCATACAAATCTCTGAACTCCCCTGGAAAAAAGATACAACTCCCCATTTGCATGATGTGGTGCAAATTCAATGGGTACCACAGTTCCACATTAGACGGAAAGTCTCTAAAGTGTGGCAAACCAGGTTTTTGAACATTCCTAATATGCCACTCCTAAATTTCCTCCTTCTTAACCACTACACATCCCACTTTCACAATCTACATCTTAAAGTTGGTTGCTCAGTGAACAGATGCTTTAGGTTACATTATTTAGACAACTGTGCAATGTGCATAGTATACTTGAAACATTTGCCTAAACCAGGTTCCTTGGCTGAGTCAGCTCTGTGGAAATTGGATTCTGAAAACAAATTTAAGGAAACTGCTCTACAATCCACGCCCTTCCCTCCTCCCTAGGCTATATATCTGCTACCTGAACAGAATGTGGAAATTGAAACATTTTACATTTAAAAACTTGTGTCAGCTGCGTAATAAAACACCAAATGAATAACTGAGCAGAGTGTCAAGAAATTCTAGTTTCGACAAAATTGCCGTAACCAGGGACAGCTAACAAAATAAGAAAAAATATATGATGAAGGAGAGAAATGAAAACAAGAATAATTAAAATGAAATATTACTTTATAACCTGTTCCCAGTTTATAAAAATTCATGAAAACAATAAATGTTTTAAAAAAATCATTATCATGTGTTCAAGAGTGTTTACTAGATAGAATTATAATTTATTTAAATAAATAAACAAAAAAAATATTGCATGTTGATTGATTATTTATTTACTCTTTGTATAATTTAGTTGTGATAAACTCAAATGTTGAATGATATTACAGTGTGTATAAAATACTAATTTTTTACCTTAAAGGGAGTGTTTGCAAAAAATAAAAGAGGTATTGGCTTTCGGCATAAAATTTATTGATTGAGATTGCTACTAATCTTACTTCTATCTGTTGTGTCTATAAGGTGGAATTCCACAATAGTCCAGTCCTCACAAACAGGCAATTGAAAAACCAGTATTGTTGTGCACGGCTTGTATACCTGTCAGGGGTTATACTTTTGTTTTCCTTATTTTAGCTGAGATGTTGATGAACCTACAAGCTAAAGATGGAGTTCTTGTTTACTGCTTAAATTCTATGTTTCGCTACTCTCCTGTAGGATAAGTGTTGTATTTCGGATTGTTCTTTATATGAGTGAACAGTCCCTTGAATCCAACAGGACGCCAGAGAGATCAGTACATCCCGGACCCCTGCAGAGTAGACACAAGTCTCCCTGCACATAGCTGTCCAGGGACCCGTGCTACATATAGCGCACAGACAGCATACAGAGAGCATCCTTTTGAACGAGATCTACCTTGGAGAAGATGAACCAGGTTCCTGCTATCATACAGAACCCTACTCACGTTGAAGAAACGGGGTCAGACGGAGATGTTGATCCAGCAGACATTACTCCCTTCATCAGCGGGAATGCCCCAATCTTTACTGTTCCTGCAGATGTACAGAGGATGAGGACGCAGATGGAGAGGTCGTGGCAGGTGGAGCTGAAGGAGGACGAGGAGAGATGGAGGATATGTATAACTTCCTAGGCGAGTTATCGGAGAAGATACAAACATTCAACTCCACTATGCAGGGAAGTATCAACTCCAGCCAGCCACCTGTGGTCCCCGACACTAAACTGTGGGACACAGAGTCAGCTTAGGAAAGAGAGTTCAATCTCTATCCCGATATAAGCAGAAGTGTTGTCATTTCTCGCTTGTATAACCAGGTGTGGAACTTGCTCCATAAGATGAAGGAGCGGGTAACCCAGCAAACCTGGAAAATAGAAGATCAGGAGATTGTGGAAGGTTTGATCGATATAATGATCTTATCTGCACGCAATAATATCCTGACTGATCAGATCATTAAAGAACTAGCTGAGAGACCTTAAGTATATAAAGGGATTGACAGCTAATATTATAATATGATCTTTATGTGATTATGTTTGCATTTATAACTATACTATTAGATGTTTTAATAAACATAATTACATGTAAACAAAGCTTTATTTATTACTTGGGTGTTTGGATTTGTATGAGCATACAAGTATACAAGGCATACTTAATATATGTAGTTTGCTGAAGTATAGTAATGCCAGATTGCAAAGATATAGACAGCGCATGAGGTGTTAGGCCCAGGTGATAGGACTGACCCGATCTGCAATGTCATCAGGTTACATAGATGATAGATTATACAAGTCAAAGTACTTGAAATGAAATCTCATCTATTTATTGATTTAAGTATACACGTTTTTGATGTTCTAATATGTGGTCCCAGAATACCACATAAGTAAGGGGCAACTTAACGCAGTGCTCCTCCAAACTGTGGAGCCAGGAGCTGCTATGGGCAAGAGGTTCCTACCAAGAAGATTTCTGATATTTGTTTTTTATTTGAATAAAACAATTTTAGTAGAACCCCCACCCTTCCTTCTTAAAAAGAGAAATCTGTAGGAGAATATATGCTATTCAGGGCTAGGTGGATTAAGACAGATAGATGGTGACTGTAAGTTGCTCTTTCATTATAAATAAAATGTAGTATATGGTGGACACAATTGCAATATGCTGAGATTTAATCACTAATCAATACAACCCCTTTTATCCCCTCCGTTTCTCCTGTGTAAGTTGTTTATCCTGACTCCCAAGCAATTTTAAGCCTTGTGAACATGACAAGTAATTCTACACCTTTATTTCACTTAGGCAGTGTCAGGTAGTTTAATGCAGACTCAAGCATATTTTTTTATGATTATTTTTCGACAGATTTTAGGGCCTTTTCAATTTAGATTATGATTTGAATATATTTGTTTAGATTTTCCATCATATGCTTTTTTACAGGTCAAGCTGTCCAATTTACATTATTTTTTGTGCATTTACACTAAGAATATTTTTTAATTTGAGAATATGATAACAAATGTACAAAACACAATCAACAAATAAGATAAAAACAATATAAGCTATAAGATAGATTAGGATTAAGATAGATTAAGAAAGATAGATAGTCATGGTAGGTTGCTCTTTTTCAAAAGGAGGGGTCCACAGCACCTTCATTGAGGAATTACTGAATATTTTATACTTTTAGTTAACAACTTTCTCAATCTGATTAAATTAGAGAAAAATCTAAATGATACATTTTTAACACTACCTCAAATTGTTGTTGCATCCAGGAGTGCTAATTTAAACTTGTTTCAGTGATTTTAACTGGTACTCTAGGACAGTTAACCAGCAGCTTGCCTTACCTTAGGAGGTAAATATTAGTAAGCTTGTTAACATTCTAAATGTGAATGATTCTTTTAAACTTTTTAGCATATAAATTGTTACCTTGAGCATTATAATTTTAAGCATGCATATTGGAACAAGTAGAAACAATTTTGAACAGCAAAAATTTCTGGAACACTGTTAATTTCATACTGCCCCGCTGTGGCGAGGCCGGTATTTGAGGCCAGATTTTGGTCCAATGATTGCATCAATATATGGACTAAGGTTTTAACTTGATTTTTGGTCCTCAAGATGTCCTGCAGCATATAATGTGCTGCTATTACACAATACTCCTTGGACACCCTCTTTTTCCTATCCAACTTTAAGACCAAGCTCCAGTAGTAGTTTGGGACTTCCCCCTTAGAGGTGTCAGCAATCTCAGAATTATTGGCTCAGAGCTTTTGCCAGGATAATATTATGAAAATCACCATTTTTAAACCTTCTTGTTTTGAAAACACCCCTATTCATATCTAATTAATTCAGAATTTATTTCAGCTAAATAGTCAAATGAATAGTTTCCATCATTATCATGCAAAATGCAATATGCATGAATACTGCAGAACCATTGAATACTATTAGTTAGTTTTTTTGATATTACAAAATTGTTTGCTGAAAGGTCAAACACATAATTTTAAATTTTTTAATTGCATTAATAAAATAATCTTCACACAAAAGTAAGTTTAAGAATTAGAAGAAAAATTTATCATTTCATTTTAAATTGTATTAAATATCAGAGGCTGAATTCAAAGAATTTGACCCGCAGCTTAAATTTAAGCCATGGCTCAAATATGGTTGGTTTCACTTAAAATTGTATTCAATTTTTCAAGATTTATGCCTGCGCTCAATTAAAACCGGTTTTGGGGGATTTGAGACGCGGCTTAAATTCATAAAGTTTGGACACAGAGCCTGCAATTTAAAAAGTTCAAGAAAATACAACTCAGGTGTACGCTGTCGCTGGGCCTTATTTACAGCTTGGGCTTTCAGATTTAAGTTGCATACAATTTTGCAAAGAGTTAGGTTCATAAAACCAAGATCCGTTTTATTTTTATTGGGCTTAACTAAGTTTAGCCTAAGATATCACAGCTGTCAATCATGTGACACAATCTGTTGTTAGAGTTTGGTCTATAAGATTGGGTCTTAAAGCTGGGTTTAAGGAATTACGACTAGAGTTGAAGCTTTTAAATTGCAGGCTCTTAGCAGTTTTGGTTATTAAAAGCCAAAATGTGTCACCTTTTGCTTTTAAAGCAAAATTGCAGGAATGATGAGAATCGTGTTAACAGCTGCATGTTACATGGCAGTGCTATCTCTGCTTTAGTAGTTCCTTTAGGTAACACACAATAAAGAGTTGCATGAATATTGTGTAATAATACTAGTAAACTGTTAAGGATTTGTGCTGCTTTTTAACTTTGTAGTGGTTATTATTGTGCTAGACATTAGTTATAAGGTGCTTAGAATAAGGTACATTTTCTTTGAAAATTAAATATTTAAGAAGTTTTAATGATTGGTCTTGTTGTGAAATAAAAATAATCAAGCATTCAAAGCCAAAAAAGACAAGTTTGCAATTACATATCTTTTCAGGCTAGTAGTATGGGATTCTTCATGCTCCTTCTTGAACCTGTCCTTGTCATTGTCTATTTTTTCATTTGTGTACACTGTTACACTGACTTGGTCTAGTGTACAGTGAAAAGAAACTTGCTAATTCATTAATATTTTGAGGATTTCCAAGCGTAGTGGAGGAATTACTGATGCTAAGCCTGAGACTAAGCTCCTGTTTCACACTATGGTTAAAAATACTTTTCGTCTTTCCTTTTTGCTTGGGCTTCCTTGGTTTGTTGGTAATTATGCTAAATTTGAATCAATTAACATTTATTTTTAATTTTTAATGGATTTTTCCTATCACTATTCTTGTTTGGGTTAGGTTTATTATCTACTAATACCACTCAGCAATATGCAACAGTCATACTGAATTCTTGTTCTGGATTCTACATATTTTTCTACAGTATTGTTGAAGACCCTAAGGTACAATTAAAATTTCAGGCCAGGGGCAACCTTTTGAAAATCTTTTTGTGGAAATTCTTAAAAATGCATTCTTAAACATGTTTTGCCTCTATAAGCTAAACATAATTAGTTCAAACATATACCACTTATTCCCTTTGACAAGTTAAACTCAATTAGGATCTCTTAATGTCCATTCTTGTCACTGGGCATGCTTTTACTTTTTAAATATTCCTTTTATGTAACGGTTAGTTTTAATTTTTAACAATGAGCAACATTTAAAAAAAAAACTATTGATTTATTAAATTTGTAAGCTTGTTTGTCTTTTGAACAGCATTTTTTTTTCTTCAGAATTTTTAACCAATAGTTCTTCCATTTAGCTCTGGAAATTTTTCATTAGTTTCTATTGACTTAGAACTTAGCTCCTTTCTCCTATAATTGCAAGGATGATGAACCTTAGTTTCTTATCCCTAACTAGTTTCACTTTTTACTTATAGTAAGATCTATCAAAAGCTGCCTCTGGTAAATGCATTAATAAGTATGTGTTATAAAGAAGAGAAACAGGATTTGTTCTCAGTTTTTCCACCCAAAGCTAGGGCAGACTTTTTTAACATATAGTTAAAATCGATAACAGACTCTTCCATTAAATTTTTAAAGCTTGTCATTTGTTAAATGAAAGTTGCCCAGCCCAAGCTCAAAGCATAATTCTTTAACTGTTATTTGCTCAGGCTTAATAAGCAAAGAACCATGAAGTGGTCTTGGGGATGTTAGGTACTTTTTCGAAGGCATTTTCCCAAGCAACAACTTTCCAGGGGAATATTTTGAAGTGGCAGCTTACCAAATGTGCAATTTCCCTAGCCGCGACATCCCAGGTCCATCCTAGCTGCAGGGCTTGGTCCCTAGCCTTTTCTAGTCACAGCGCTCAGCTCCCTAGCCCATTCTACCCTCTGCAGTACTTGATCCCCATTGCAGCCTGTGAGGCCTCAGAGGGCCCACCTTAACCTTTGGGAAGTTACAAATTGGGAAATTTACATTTGAAGTTGCCATTGGGAAATTGCCTTTGGGAATATGTCTTTGGGAAAATGCATTAGGGAAAATATATAAATAATATAGGGTGTTTGGAAAAAAGAACAGTGTACACTAAGTGTACAGTATTATATTCAGTATTAATAGTAAATTAAGAAAAGTTTTAAGATTAAACAAACTTTTAGAATTCTAGTATAACAGGTCATGCCAGAGGGAAAGAAGAAATGTAGAGCTATGATTACAATGTTCTGGAACAGGTACACTGTACATTGAAAAAGACATTATCTATATATAAAAATAATTCTATCAATCATCCTACCTAAGTAATTGAACTCTTGCGTCTAAAAAAAACACCTTAATGATAGACCAAACTTTCAGGTTGCAAGTTCTGGCAGAGCTTTGTAGAGATATGTTTGCATTGTTCTGGAACAGGTACAGTGTAAAATGAAAAAAAACCATTATCTACATTTAAAGATAATTCTAGCAATTATAATAAAATAATAAACAGAGCTCTTAGGTTCCAGGTTCGGGCAGAGTTAAGAGACTTGTTATTATCATGTTGTACTAGGTAAAAAAAACAGGGGGTACATGTGTTGAATTACAATAGAGAGAGAGAGAGAGAGAGCCTGATCTGATCCACGCCGCATGTGCATAACTCCTTTGCCTCAGGGTTATTGTGAACGGAAAACCCCTTAATCTTGAAAAGACAACATCTAGTGTTATACCTAGAGCTGGGCACGTTCCTGGTGGAACAATAGGGCGCCGTGACAAACTCCTGAAAGACAAACTCCTGAAAGACAAACTCCGGAAAGACAAACTCCTGAAAAGACAAACTCCTGAAAGACAAACTCCTGACGAGACAAACTCAGGGGGATGGAAACAGTCATGATTAAGAACAGAACAAGAGGGATTCAATGGTTCTTCAACTAAGAACGCCAAGAACGGAACAGGAAGACCGCTCTTCTACTCAGAATGGAACAAATTGAGAACGGAACGATAAAAAAGGAACAAGAACGGAACGATTTAGCTGATGGCCCTTGTTCTAGAACGGAACGGAACAATTTAAAAAAAAGTCGGAACGTGCCCAGCACTAATTATATCTGTGTTTGTGCATCAAGCATTAAGTTTAGTTGCCAAAGCTTTACAGTTGTATTTCCTATAAATGAAAGATTGAATATTTAGGTACGAACACTACAAGTTATGGGACTATTTATATTTAACCTCTCTGCAAAATCTATTAAGAAGGATATTGAGGAGTCCTCGGAAAATTGAGCAAAGTCATCAAAGTCAAAAATCCAAGCCACTAAGTCAAGAATTCGAGCCATCCAGTGAACAAGATGAAGTATATTCTCTTGAAACAGAGTTTTCTACTGAAGGATTATCTAGTTACTGTTAAATAAATGAGTTTTCTTGTCAAGAAACTGCGTTTTCCAATCTTATTATTGAGAATGAGGAACAGAATATAAGATTGAGTCCAAAAATCTCTTTCAAGTCAAGATGTTGAGTTATCTAGACAAGAAACTGATTTTTTCACTCCTGACATTGACTATTTGACAATATGTTGTTAAAAACAGACTAACACAGAAGTATTTTTTAGTTTTAGTTTGTTTTTTCGTTGCAGGTGGGGCGTTACTTTTTGGTCATTGTTAAAAATGGTCATATTGTCTCTATGCAACAGAATATGCAACCATTGTTTTATTTTATTTTTAAATTAAAACAACGAATCAAGTTAAATCAAAGTATCTTGAGTTAAAAAGATATTAATGAAATTAATGCAGTAACGAATAATGCTTTATTTATGATATTGCAAGGGGATTTTCCAATTAACCAATTAAATTGTTAATATCAGCTACGAAACAATAAAGACTAAAATATTAGAATAAACTTAGAGTCTCTTAAACGATTTCCATTCTATAAATACCCAACTCTTTGGAATGATCTTAATCCTGAGCTTAAGTCTTTAAATAGAAAGAATGAATTCAAATATAAAATTAAGTCATCTCTTTTGGAAAAACTTAAAGATTTCAGATGTAATAAACTATTTTGTTATGTATGCTCCTTGGCTAATATTAATTGATCATTTGTTAGGTTTCCTCCTCGCGATTTAAATTTAAATTTAAATATAGATGAAATTTTAATCATTTGGTCTTGTGTTGAAAGATGATCCTTGTGTAATTTTGTTGTTGTTTCTTTATTTGTTGCTTATGTCAAGGGATTGGGGGTGAGGGGTGCATGATCCGTTGAGAAGGCAGGTACTTTCCCTTGGAATGGGATCAGGCCCCAGTGGGGGATCCTGCACTCATCCCCCCCTCCCCCTTCAAACCTTGATGATCTTGGTCCAAATGTTTTATGATGATTGATGTATGGATGTTGGGAAGGGAATGGGGGTGAGGGGTGTGTGATCCGTCGAGAAGGCAGGTACTCTCCCATTGAATGGGATTGGGCCCCAGTGGGGTATCACACCCTCATCCCCCCCTCCCCCCTTTATTATGGGGGTTAATGTTGATCTTGGTCCAATTTTTTGTGATGATTATTTTATGGATGTTTTGAGGGGATTGGGGTTGATAGTTGATAAAGCTCTTTTTCACAATGTTAATACATGTTTTGAAATACAATTTGATACAAAATGACATTTTTACACGCTTAAACCTAAAAAAAGAGTCTATTTACACTTGAATTTGAATTTGAAGCCCTTTTTTTACCGATATAACAAATCTTAATAATTCTGAAAAAATGAGGGAAAAACATTTCTATTTCAAATTATCTATTTAATCAATTAAAAGAGGAAAATTTTGTTATTTCTCCATCTATTAGACAGTACAGACAAGAATACCCCGAGAGAAAGGAGAACCAAGAACCACTGTTTTGCCAAATCTAGCCCCCTGGGAAATCTAAAAACAAAATTTGAGAAATTTTGAAATCTTAAAAGAGACTGTTCGAACAGCGTTATTTCAAGTGACTCTATAACCCACATGCAAACAAGGGAGGCCACAGGTGGAGGGAGGGTACCTTTGCCCCCTCCCCCTGAGATTTTGAGACATAAAATGTTCCCAAATTGATAAAATAATGTTTGATAAATCATATATGATCCCCATTTAAAAGTTATTTAAAGGAATTAAAAATCAACTCTTGAATGTGAATGATAAATGTAGATGTTTGAAAGAAATAAAACTTATAATATTGTTACTATCTAACTTCAAACTTGCAAATCAAAATTTTAATATTGTTACAAATTTAACTTTTCTAGTAATTTATTTTTGTCTTTATGCTCCTATTATTATTATTATATTATCTCGCGCCCCCTCCCCCCCTGGCTGAAATCCTGTGTCCACCCATGCATGCAAAGATAGCAATGCTTAATTCACCAATTCACGATTTCAATTTCCATATTAATATTTATAATTTCAAAAACTGATTATTTTCAATTGTGGTTTTTCTAAATATGGGAACTGCACATTCTACTGCAGAAAAATATGTAGGAATTATCAAAATTAAACACTTTTAAACCTAGGAAAACAACAATATTATCCCAATACTGATCAAAAAAGGTTTCAAGGGTAACATTGCGAAAAGGGCATTGCCATCTTTGAAATTAAGCAAACAGTCAATTTACTGAAAAATCTTTTGGGTTGGTACCTGGGAAAGTTTAGTTCCATCATGTTGAAGAAGTTCCTGGGTTTCCCAGTCTCCATTTCTTGACTTCTTCAGGGCAGATAAACCACCAGGAACAGGATATCCCTAGACAGATAAATGCAAGAAATATATAGACCTAGGAACCGCCGTATCTCATGCGTCAAATCCATGTAGTGCAGTGAGAGGAGATCAAAACAAAGAATTCAAGGGCAACGCATCATTTTGAGGGGAAAGGGCCCAAGGGGTGGAATAAAAATATATTGCTATTGTATTTTCCATATTGACCAGAAAGCCAAAAATCATATGTATTTACTTAAACTTGATATATTAACTTGCTTTTTGTTGGACTGTAATATCACATCAGAGCTTTAGTCCTTTCCCTTCAACTTTTGTGGGGGCACTGGGTTTGTTTCCATTCCTCCCACAGTGTACAGTACACAATTTTCGTACATCTGAGTTGGGGGTTCCTGTACATAGTTCCTTGGATAAATGCAAAGGTTCCGCCACCTATCTTTAACTTTAATAATTAATTTTAATTAAATTTTACAATATTTTTAAATTTCAATATGATATCAGATGGAAACATTTTAGACTTCTACATTTCTTGTTTTTCATTCTTTCTTCTTGATCTTCCATTCCTTGTCCATCCTTCAATCATACTTTGGCTAATTTTGAAAATAAAAATAAATGCATTTTTTGGATGTTTTCTGCAGCTAGCCAAATTGCAGAGACAGAACTATGTTTTGGAGCCCTGTATCTTTATTCTATATATTGAGAGTGGCAAGGTTACTCTCTCCCTTGTTTGTATTTAAATTTTGCTTCAGTCATGATACTGTGTCAACTCCTGCATTCCTAACACACTTTCAATGAAATTTTCTTGATGGAGGGGGAGAGGGGTGAGGGGGGCGTTTTACACATGTTCCAGTTTTTTAACTCGAGTAGGACATAGAGGTGGGGATGGGACAGCTGGCATCCTGTGTATTTGTCTTTATTTGCTATCGGTGAAAAAAATAGAAAGTGTAAAGGTCAAATCCCCTTCTAATTTTTCCTGTTTATAGTTTTCTCCTTCTTTCTTGTTTATCTTGCTTAAAGCACCTATCTCTATTGTGAAGAGATTTCCCTTCCACTTTTTTCTGTTCAATTTTTTTTTCTTCTTGCTTCTTGTTTCTTGTTTTTACACTTTAAGGCCTTTTCAAATAGTTCTTTTAACAACGAGTTGTAAAGCAGGTAGGAGATAGATAAGGAGGTTTTCAGGAAGAAGGGTATAGGGGATTTCTCCCTGTGTTCCTTCATTTTATACTGTTTCCCAGTTAGGGGAATTAAGGAATTTACCCATAACTGCACCCCATATGCAAAATGGGGAGTTGTGATCCCTGATCTTCCATGGCAATCCAGTCCTCACTTCTGGTCACGTAAAAAACCGGTATTGTTGTGCTTGTATTCCCACGGGGGGTTAAACTCCTCTTTCAGTGCACCAAGCTGAAGATGAAGTTTTGTTTTAATCTATGCTTCCAGCTTCTCCTGTAGGATACTAGATGCAAAACTAAACTCAGCGCTTCCCCAGCTGCGATTCTGGGACTGCTTAGTAGGTCTGTTCTGCTTGTGAGAAAGCAGGCAACTATTGCGCCACCTATAAAGATTAGAGATTAAGCGCCATCTTTACTCATTAAGGATTCAGCGCCATTCATTAAGAGTAGAGTTTAAATAGCGCCATCTGCAATATATATATATATATATATATATATATATGAACTTGATTAGGCAGGCAATCAACAAAAAGATCCAAAGCTGGTATCATATAAATGCTGAAGCCCATGTTAGGCTTTTTTCATTTCCTAATTTTTTTTAAATCGATCAATTTTCTAGTTTTATCAAAATATCTTTGGCAATCAAAAAAGAAAAGAAAAATTGGATATCAAAAGGCAAGACCAAAATTTTTTGATATTCCACACAAACAAACCTAACTTTTGAAGGTAAAAAAATATTTTTGATGAATGGGGGGGGGGCTTGATTTCAACAGGCATGTGTTTTCCTTTTTATTACTTCATTTCTTACCAAAAAATTCAGCAAAAAAAATTTGTTATGCTGCTTAGGGCAAATATATTTTGGAAACGGGTAAGGATTTTTAAGAAAGGAACTAAGTTTTGCAACAAATTAAATTTTGCTAATCCCTTTTTCTTTGAAACCATATGGTGTAAACGTAAAATAATTCGAAGTTAGAAAAATATCAACGATCTACAAAATCGGGTTGCACAGATGTAAGGCTTGTAATTTTGAGTTTGTCGCAAAAACTCATTTTCTTTGCTCCTCTGATATGATATATAATCAACAAATATATGTTCTAAACTAAGCAAAGCCTAAGTATGAAAGACATACGGTTCTTTAATATAGAAACAATACTTTTGTGAAAATAGGGGGTTTTTAAGTGTTTTTAAACTCTGCTAGGGTGTGCACTAAAAAAAATTTCAGGGCGTGCTAATGCGCTAAAGCTCTCGCACGCCCCTGTCCATGCACCCCATCTGATGGTTGATTATTATTCCTGATTGAGTATCTATCTCTAGATTGTCTACTCCGTACTGAAGATAAATCCAGGATTCAAGAGTTAGGAAACCTTTGGACAAATATCTGTTCCGGGACTGTAAAGTGACGTATTTTTAGGTCATCCTCAGTTAAAAGTGGTTGTTCTCTAAACTCTAAAAATTTGATTCTAATTCCATTAAAGGGACTGTAGGCGCAATTTGAAGCAAACTCTCCAGTTGTAGACTGACATGGGTGATTTACCAGGGAATATGGAATAGAAGGGAGATAAATTGACGCGGTTCGCCCTACCATATGATAATACATGCTTTGCAGACGGGTACTTCATTTGAAGGAGAATTATTTGTCTGATGTACAATTACTGCGTATACAATAACCTATTCTGAATATTTCTTATACAAATGGAGTACCCATCTGCAAAGCATGCATAATCATAAGGTAGGGCGAACCTCGTCAGTTGTATCTCCCTGGTAATTTACACAGCTTTTAATGATTATATGGTGTACAGAGTTATCTATGGTCTCACTATATACAACCTTGTTGTCGTTCAAGCTTAGACACTATTTTGGGCACATGTTACACATTGATTTGTCCGCCATCAATAATCAGACAATATGGTTAAAATAGTATCTTTGTTCATCAGACATGTCATATATAAAGGGTCACTTGAAATTACTTGTACATTCCTTTTATCTGTTAAAAAATAACATTTAGTCATGAAAAAACATTATCCTAGCATGTTGAAAACTGGTAAACAGCAGTACATATTGTCAAAAATAAGATTGGAACAAATTCCTGAGTCAGTACGATTCATCAGAGCAATTTGTTTTCTGAGACCAGATTTAATGTTCAGCAACAGTTGAACCATAGCATAGAAACACCTGAGATGGAATTTAAAGAATTTGAGCCGAGGATTAAATCCGCCAAAACCCGGTTTAAATTAAGCGCCGGCTTAAATCTTGAAACATTTGATACAATTTTAAGTGGAACCAACCATATTTAAACGGCCGCTCAAATTCTTTAAATTCGGCCACTGAGATGATCGATTTTAAAGCTTAAACCAGACTAAAATCCGGTCTTTGTGTCTGCTTAAACCCAAGTAAAGCTCAAGTCAAGACCCGGGTTTTGGATGGCCTTGAGTTTAGTAAGAGCCAACCCTCTTGGGTTTTACTCTCTTTAAGGCTCGAGTCTTCAGCAGCTGATGATTGTAAATTTCTTAAAATCTTTTATATTTGTACATTTAAAATCTCGGGAATTATTTGTGGTGTCAAATTTTATTAATTATATAAAATAAACATACTATGAAAATAATGTATCTACATAAAGTTTGAATTATCAAAATTTATATCTCCTTGTCACAGCTGATCTGACGGCATTCTGTCTGCTACAGAGTGAAAGCTTGCAAAACAGTCTCTCATTGGTAAAATCAGAACCAATCTATCTAAGCCCGAGTTTGGGTTTTAGTCGGGTTTAAGCTTTTAAAATCTCATCTCTGGATCCCTCTTAAGCTTTAACCATTTCAACACAATGTTAGACAGAACAAGCAACGTTAAACATGAAGAATTATTAGTTCTTATAAAATACGCATTATTTCTTAAATGTATTTTAATGGGGATAGATGCAAAAAAGGTATTTCCTTTCAAATGTCGTCTTCCGTTCAGATCATCAAACAATTAGTATTTACTCGAGACATAGATAATTTTGAACGTGGTTTTTTAATCAATTAGTGCATTAAAAAATATTGAAAAATGTCCTAAGATTGCCTTTTATGTCTAACATTGTGTTGAAATGGTTAAAACTATAGAGGGAGTTAATTGTTCCCATGAAAGGACACTGGCGTAAAAGAGAAGTGGTTCAGTAATGTCTAAGCTGATCAACTACTTCTATTTATTAAATCTTGGTTCCTGGTTGGATCTGCCACATATACAGTAGTTCGATCATCGGATATAGTTATACCGTTGGAACCAATAAATATACGATCTGTAGCTGCCTCACATTCACCCTGTAATATGTAATTTTATCTAAAATTCTGAGCTGTTATAAGGACCCTATTTCGTCATAACTCCTGAAATCTAAATGTTCTGAATATACGTATACATAAATACAGACATTCAAAACTCTTTAGTCTTGTGATTATACCATAACAGTCATAGTGATAATGTTTTATACATATTCAATAAATATTTTTTTATTTTCAGTTAAAATTGGCGCAAAAAATTACCTTATCGACATTACACCTGTACACAAGTGTACCCGGTATGCCGAGCAGTACAAATATTGAGTTCAGGATTGGATTAATCTTCTCCAGAAGTGTACTCCAACCTTCGGCACCAAACTCAGGAACCGGAAATGGCAGCCATCTTGGAATATTTACAGGGTAAACATTATCTTGGATATTCAGACAGAGGCCGTTCCTTCTATAGATAGCGGTCGTGTTATTCACCTACTTTGGGCCCATCGTCGGGGACGATAGTTTGGCCGCTAGATGTCTCGACCATGAGTAATTCACGGACGAACAGAGTTTCTCGACTCACGTCATATTTGGATTTACTTTTAGGAAAGGTGGCAGCACTAATTAAATTTCAGTAATTGATTGCCGTGTTTTGTTTTCGTAAGAAGTGTGATTTGACACTTGAGTGTGTGACATTCACCTGTGACACTGGTGACAGTGACATGTTATAATGGTATCGTATACTGACTAAGACTATATATTTTTAAGCTTTTCTCTTTCTCCCGTCAATAGGGGTCGCATATGGGTATGTATGTGGTCGGACTAAACTCAGACACTAATAACCCGTTGAACAAAATACTATTTTCCGTACAAATGACGAACACATAGGAGACGTCCTGTTGTCGACCAATGTAGTTTATGGAAGAAACCGCCTCACACAAACAGAGATTACTAATTTATATACAGTCCTCGTCGTATATATCAATACAATAAACATACAGTGAAACCCTTCATAACGAATACATCGGAAGAATTCATCAAATGTCGTCTTGACAATTTTTCAATGAGCTTTATACTATATTACGTAAATTTCAGTATTTGCGAAAATAAATAAATAGCCATGAATATGCAGGAACAGTTTTAAAGTGCTCCATATAATCATCTAATTAAAAAAACTAAATATCTGCAACATTCCATTATCAGAAAGTGAAGAATACGACATTTAATAAATTCTTTCGATTTATTCGTTATTAAGTGTTTCACTGTATATGACTTCATATTTTAATTTTAATTTCTACCAAGCTTACAGCAGACACACGTGCACATTTTAACTAAAGAGAAGTTAAAAATTTACATATTCTTTTTCTTTCCATGTAATTTGTAAACCTAAAAAATTAAATCATAATTTATAAAAAGTTATCTTAATTGTATCTATATAATCGCCGACCACTCTTCATAGAAACCATTAATAAACCATTCTATTCTAACAAGAAGATCAAGTTCAGTGTTCATATTAAAAATGTTAAAGGTCGTCTTTAAAGTCTCATCGTTTGTGGTTATGCCTGCAAATAAAATTTTTGATAAAATTTAGTTTGCTGTTCTTTTATAAACATAAATTTGATAAAATTATTAACTCTAGATTTCCGGTATACGGTAAACCACATTTTAAAAAGCTCAGTAGTCGCTCCAATCTTGCAAAAAATGTTTTTTGTTACCTTGTGACGTAGATTTCTGATTCATTTATTCCTTCTACAACATCATTTATTCCGTATCTTAATATTTACACAACCTTCTGCGAGGAAGGGGGGGGATGCGGCCATGAGCCTCACAATATCCTCTTCGAACCCAAGTAGTTAGCAGAACACTGTTTCAACCCTGTTCGATCCCCACTGAATCCTGTTCGAACCCCGCCAAAGACTGTTCTTGTCTTTTAAAACTTTTGAAATTTATTAGAATTCATCTAGAGAATACACATCCTTCTAAACATATGATATACAGGGTGTCCCACAAAACATGAAGATTGAACATCTTTATTGATCAATAGAAGTAAAATTCATCTGTTAAACTACTTTTATATTTAGTTAGGATTCTGCAAACAATTATCACAAAATTCCTCTATTCATTACATTTCCAGAATGTGATCCACCTTTTTACACTTTTTATTTTACCGGAAATGTTAAGAATTTTATTCAGATTTAAATTTACTAATTTAAACCAAAATTTTATAAATCTGAACGAAAATATCTCAAGTGCAAAAAAAGGCAGACAAATGCCAGGACCATGGGTGTTTGTTATTGTTATTTGAGAATTTTACTTCTAATATTAGATTGACGAATGAATGCCGCAACTAAATACAAATATCAAAGACGATATTTAAACCCTGCAATTATGCTAAGATTCTTGATTTGGTTGTGCATGCAAGCTTTACCCTTTTATCGTATTTGTATCCAATTACAATTACGTTTTTGAAAATTCATAAATCTTGAAACAGAACTATTTCAAATTTTCTAGGTTTAAAAGTATTTAATGTTGATCATTCTTATATGCTTCTCTGCAGTAGAAATGCGCAAGTTTCACTTTTGTAGTGAACCTACAATGGAAAATAATCAATTTTCAAAATTATAAACATTGATATAAAAAAACGAGCATTGGCATGTTTGATGGAGGGTCACTTAAATAATGCTTACATTTCCTTTAAAGGGAGTGTTCAATTTCATAATATTTTTGTTTGGTTTTTTTAAAAATAATATTTCGAACATTCCTGGAAAATATGGAAATGTCGTCTTCATGATCAAAAATCCTCGAAACAGGAATAAATGTTTTTAAAATTAACTATCAGATCATGACAAATAAAAATATTATGAAATATCATGAAATTACGCTAACAGTTCCTTTAAGGTTGTATAATTGCCTAGGGAATAGATGTGAACTTATGGTTTTGATGTGAAGCAAGCTAACAGGGTCGGTACACGACCAAACTTTACTCTCCAGGCAGGACTTGTTGTACACAATCTTCATAATCTGTACAGTACAAGGATTATTGTCTGTACACAATCTTCATAATCTGTACAGTACAAGGATTATTGTCTGTACATAATCTTCATAATCTGTACAGTACAAGGATTATTATGTGTACATGATCTTCATAATATGTACAGTACAAGGATTATTTTGGGTACATGATCTTCATAATCTGTGCAGTACAAGGATTATTGTGGGTACATGATCTTCATAATATGTACAGTACAAGGATTATTGTCTGTGCATGATCTTCATAATCTGTACAGTACAAGGATTATTGTGTGTACATGATCTTTATAATCTGTACAGTACAAGGATTATTGTGGGTACATGATCTTCATAATATGTAAAGTACAAGGATTATTGTGTGTACATGATCTTTATAATCTGTACAGTACAAGGATTATTATGTGTACATGATCTTCATAATCTTTACAGTACAAGGATTATTGTCTGTGCATGATCTTCATAATCTGTACAGTACAAGGATTATTGTGTGTACATGATCTTCATAATCTGTACAGTACAAGGATTATTGTGGGTACATGATCTTCATAATCTGTACAGTACAAGGATTATTGTGTGTACACAATCTTCATAATCTGTACAGTACTAGGATTATTGTGTGTACATGATCTTCATAATCTGTACAGTACAAGGATTATAACAAAAATAATAAAGTGAAGAAATATGAATCTTTAGAATAATAGTTTTGAATGTTTTTTAACTTCTCAAAGTTTTATGAATCTCTTCAAAGTCTAATAACTGTAAAAGTCTTAAAAAACGAACGAAACTAAATGCCCATCACTATATATGTACAACATCATGTATCTGGATACATTGATATACAACATCATATATCGGGATCCTTATTTATATACAACATCATGTATCTGATTTCTTATTTATATACAATATCATGTACCTGGATCCGTATTTATGTAAAACATCATGCATGTGGATCCTTATTTATGTACAACATCATGTACATGGATCCTAATTTATGTACAACACCGTGTATCTGGATCCTTATTTATGTACAACACCGTGTATCTGGATCCTTATTTATGTACAACATCATGTATCTGGATCCTTATCTATGTACAACATCATGTATCTGGATCCTTATTTATGTACAGCATCATGTATCTGGATCGTAATTTATGTACAACATAATGTTCCTGGATCCGTTTTTATGTACAACATCATGTACCTGGATCCTTATTTACGTACAACATCATGTACATGGATCATTATTTACGTACAACATCATGTACCTGGATCCTTATTTATGTACAACATCATGTACCTGGATGACGGACTTAGGTCCAAGATGATCCACAACATACAATCTGTCCGTCTTGTTAGAAACATAGATACCATGCGCTAAACATTTTATTAGAACATTTTTGAATACAGTTCTATTTTCGTTGATAAATATCAAAATAAACCTGAAGGCTGTAACTTCAAATTTTCCCTCAGTAAATCTGTGCTCTTTTTGCCGGCAACTAGCTATTGAAAATGGCTGCCAGAGCCGATACTAGCGCCTTCTGATCCCCTAGTTGTTGGTTGAATTTGCAAGGCGCCAAATTCAAATATCTCAGAGATAAAGTTCATATTATCAACTCTCTAGACTACTAACCATGCATGACTGTATAAGGAGAGTTCTGTACATAGATCTGCTGAGGCTCTGCCTCCTGTCCCTCCTTTATATCCAGGATATATATACCACCTTAACAATTTAATGGGATAGTTTGAGATATTTAGAGAAGCTTTAGTTAAAAGAGATCGTTTTCAATACTTTAATTTAAAGTGCATGTTTACAATACTTAGAGTAAGCCTTTGTTTAAAAATGGATAGTTTGCTATACTTTGAGTAAATCCTAAAAAGGCCTGGATTTGAGTAGATTTGCAATTCTTAAAGTAAGCCTTTGCATAAAGGTATTCTAGCGATACTTTGAGTAAGCTTTTGTTAAAAGAAATTGTTTGCGATACTTAGAGTAATCCTCCGCTTAATGAGATTTTAAAATACTTGTATTTAAAGGATTGTACACCTTCTTGTCAAGAAATTGATCGCCACTATCAAGAATGTAATGCAAAGAAAGTTAATTGCAGTTGCGTATACTCTGCGTACATATTGAAACCAGTTCTCTCTGGGCGGAACTTGTAAACAAGAATAGATGCCTCAGTGTTCGTTTAGTATCTGAGGAGGATAAAAGCATTGAATTTTGATAATTTTGATAATTCACATAATAGTTTCCTATGACCAGAATATTTCATTGATTATTTATGTGAAAGATGGATCCCATGTCAGGCTTCGACATCCGTCTTGTGTTTACATTACCACCCAGTGACAGTACAAAAGATGCGTACACCTCTCAAATAACTTTCCTTGCATTAAATCCTTGGCCACTATACTTAGAGAAACAAAAGATTGCTTTTAATTCATAGAGTAACCCTTCGTCTAAAGGAATTGTTTGCCACGATACTTAGAGTAACAAGAGATTGCTTTTAATTCAAAGAGTAACCCTTCGTCTAAAGGAATTGTTTGCTTAACTATGAGTAATCTTTTTCTTAAAGGAATTCTTGCGATACTTAGAGTAAGGTTTTTTTTCTAGTATTTCCATCTGATTTTTATGAAAAGAATATGTTTAAAAGAATGACAATTGGGCAGGGATAGGTGTTTTTGGGAAAAAGGGGAAGGAGGACAGGGGAAAGGTGGTAGGGGAAAGGTGGCAGGGGAAGGGTGGCAGGGAAGGGTGGCAGGGGAAGGGTGGCAGGGGAAGGGTGGCAGGGGAAAGGTGGCAGGGGAAGGGTGGCAGGGGAAGGGAGGTTTACCTGGTTGAGCTGAAGCTGATCCATGTTTAAAGCACTGATCTAGGTTTCCACTAGAACCAATAAAAAGAACTGAAAACTTTCCTAAATAATATTTTATAATTTTCTCTTTTTGCATGAAAATTCATCCTAAGGAAAAATAGCAAAAATTGGAAGGAGAAATCAAGGTGATTTTAATTACCCTTTAATTTAAGAGTTTCATCAATGATTCACACCATAAATTAATACTATAGCCACCATGGCTACTGTAGAAATCCACAATCCACGAATTGTAAAAAAAATATTTTCTAATATTTACTAGAAAAAATCAACGTTGCGAATCGATTATGTAGCTCTATAATGAACTTTAAAATAAGTGAAAATTATATTGCCGCACTTAGTGTTAGTATAAATCGGTTTGGTTTTAAAAACCTTCAAGATTTCAAAAACGTATTCTGTTCAAGTTTACCATTCATGAACTTGGCAATATTTTTATCTTTACAAACAAATTTTGAAAAACATTTGCTTTTCTTACACTTTGCAAAATTTTGACCCTAAAACAAAATTTATCAAAAAACAAACCAAAAACAATTCGTTAAAAAAATGTTTATAAAAACGAACCAAAAATTATCCATAAAAAATGTTTAAAAAACGAACTAAAAACGATCCGTAAAAAGATAATTATAAAAACGAAACAAAAACAATCCGTAAAAAAATGTTTATAAAAACGAACCAAAAAATCTCTAAAAAAATGTTTATAAAAACGAACCAAAAAAATCCTTTAAAAATGTTTATAAAAACGAGCCGAAAATGATCCGTAAATAAATGTTTATAAAAACGAACTAGAAACGATCCGTAAAAAAATGTTTATAAAAGCGAACCAAAAACAATCGTTAAAACAATCTCTATAAAAACGAACCAAAAACGATCCGTAACAAAACGTTTATAAAAACGAACCAAAACAATCTGTAAAAAAATGTTTATAAAAACGAACCAAAAACGGTTCTTAAAAAATGTTTAAAAAAACGATCCAAAAAAGAACCAACATAAGGCACATCACTAACCACACTATCAAAAAAAAAGTTTGCTTTTCCGAATTTGTTATTAAAGTTCTCCGCTCTAACTTACCTAGAGCCATGTCTTCATTTCCCATCATCTCACCCTAAAATATAATTATGTTAACATGCTCCTTTTAAATTTATATTTCTCAATAGAAGATTAAAAATTTAACAATCCCTTAAATTTTCTAAGATTTTCTAGAAGATATTTCTCAATAGAAGATTAAATAGTAAACAATTCCTTTAAGTTTCTCAATAGAAGATTAAATAGTAAACAATCCCTTTAAGTTTCTCAATAGAAGATTAAATAGTAAACAATTCCTTTAAGTTTCTCAATAGAAGATTAAATAGTAAACAATCCCTTTATATTTCTCAATAGAAGATTAAATAGTAAACAATCCCTTTATATTTCTCAATAGAAGATTAATTAGTAAACAATTTTCTTTAAAAGAGCAAAACATGCCTTGAATTTTAAAAGACGACATTTGTTACTTTTAGGAATATCTTTGACTTTAACCAATTGATCCGTGCAGATGAAATGCTTAAACATATTAAAGAGCATCAGGTTAGAATGAAAATGAGATAAAAAATTTAGAATTACAATTATTACAAAACAATTATAACTCTAAGTATGAATTAAATATTAATGCTAGCGATTATTTTCAATTGTGGTTTCCATTATTTTTTTCTCACTTTTCTTCAGCAGGAAAACCTCTAGAAATTATCGGAATTAAACATGCATACTAGCTGAAGGGCCCGACGTTGCCCGTGCCAAAAAAATTTGAAAAAAATATCGTTTTTTTTAGCCTATAAAATCCCCGGCCACCCATGAGTGTTCACAAAAAAGTTTCAGCCCATTCGGTCCAGCCGTTTGGCCGACTATAGGGAACATACATATATCCAAATGTCTTGTTTTATTATATAGAAGATGTATTCCAAATAATTGACCATAAAAAGGTTTCAAGGGTAATGTTTAAAATCGGCCATTGTCATTTAGGAATGGAAATTACGCTTTTAACTTTTAATTTAATCTATAAAATTAATCAAGGCATGATATATATAAATATGTTGCCTACAGCCGGCCATACGGCTGGACCGAACGGGCTGAAACTTTTGCGGACACTCAGGGATGGCCGGTGGATGTTTAAGGCTAAATTTTTATTTCTAATTTTTAATTTTTTTCCCAAATTTTTTTCTTCCACGGGCAATGCTGGTCCCTTCGGCTAGTTTACTTCTAAAAACTGAAAACTGTACTGTACACTGTACTGTACTGTACTGTACTGTACACTGTACACTGTACTGTACACTGTACTGTACACTGTACTGTACACTGTACTGTAGACTGTACTGTACACTGTACTGTACACTGTACTGTACACTGTACTGTACACTGTACTGTACACTGTACTGTATACTGTACTGTACACTGTACACTGTACACTGTACTGTACACTGTACTGTACACTGTACTGTACACTGTACTGTACACTGTACTGTACACTGTACTGTACACTGTACTGTACACTGTGCTGTAAAATGTGCAGTATGCAATGATGATGTACTATGGATGCACATAGTACATTTATCTGATTGGGTATATTAACTGTTTGGCACTAGACTGAAGGTTTTGTATAAAAATGTCAAAAATAAGGGTGTCTTGGGAAATTTCTTCATAAACAAAAAAAAATCCGCCATAACAATTTTGATCATTTCTGATCATGAGCAATTACTTTATTCTATTAATGCTAACATGAATACTGTACACTGTACAGTGTATTCTTGTACAGCATAGTGCGCATACACCGTTCAAAACATTAAACAGCATATACAACCTACATAAGTAACATTTTCTGTGATACCATCCCAACCATGTCTATTGTGCAACTGCATACATTTGTCCCCATCTAAGTTTGTAACCTCCAATCACTAATTAGTTTTTAAAGGGACTGTAAGCGCAATGTTAATTGACCCACAATGCAAAGACGGTGATTCCAGATTCACAACGTTACCCTAAAGAGCTTACTCTGATTATGAATTAGATATCAATGTTTGTAATTTAAAAAACTAATTATTTTAAGTTGTGGTTTCTCTACAATAGTGTCTTGCGCGTGTTTGAAGCTAGGAAAACTATAATATTTTCCACATCATTAATTAGATAAAGGATTCAAGGGTACCATTGTAAATCCGACATTATAATTTTTGCATGAAGGGTCAATTGAAATTACGCTTAAATTTTCATTAGAATTTTTTTACTTTGCTTTGTGTGTACATTAATGTGACCCCAAAAACACTACTTTATATAAATATGGAAATTTAACAGAACACTGTTGTGAATTGTCTAGAAATAAAAGACCAATTAGAATTACCCTTGAAATACTTGGTTTATAAAAGGTTTATATTAATCATTGAAATTCAGAGAAATTCTGTTTCTTCACAACATTTTGTAAAAATAACGTGTTTTAATGTTTAGTAGATTGTTAACGTTTGTGATTATGTAAAAGTAAAACTTACAACTAATAAACACCTGAACATCAGTTCATTTTGTGATTATATAACTATTTTTCTTTTATAAAGAAATACATTTTATCACGAAAACATTTCTCTCAATTTTATTTTTTAAATATTTTACCCTGTGGTTTATTCTGAATAACTTAATAATGGCTTATATATTGTAACGCTAAAACTTCTTAACTTTTTAACATAAAAGTTGTGAACAAATTTTGTAAAAAAAAAATTAATGCATAGGGTAGGGTGGAGAATTAAAGTTAGAGATTTAATTTTTTATAATGAGCAGGCCTTGAACAGTTGGACTAGGGACATGTATCACACTCCCCTTTCTCAACTCTACGGGCAAAATCACCCAATCTTTATAAAAAAAATAGCCCAAGCGGGATAGGGTTAAAAAAAAAGATTGCTAGAGCTAAGACATTATTCTAAATAGCTAATCATTATCATTGTCATGATTCACTGATAAATTCAAAATGAAAATAAATAATAAAAAAAGAAATGTGTATGGCTCACTGTTTCCAAAATGTTTTAGTTAGAATTTCATGATTTTTTCAAGTAAACCATAAAACCTTGCTTATATCTAGTTTTCACTTTCACAATTCCATATTTGTTAAATCAGATTAAAGATATTCAAGGGGGGGCATTCAGTTGACAAAACAAACCTTTAAAGGAGTTCCTTTTACAAGATAGAGGGGGGGGGGTTGGGGGGAAGAACATTAGAGAGTTTGAATAAAGAATACTAGCAATGAACAAGATCAATTTTTTTCAGTTCAAAAATCCTAAAAAAGTATGACAGGGAGTGTCTGGCTATACATGGAAGTTGAGTAAGAACTAAGAATGTAGTTTTGTAGAGAATTATTTTAGGATTTATTTGAGACCTGTCAGACGTTTTTACGGTGCATATTTATTCAGCAAGAGCGCGAATTCAATCTATAAAATCCTAATACATGTAATAAATAAAGTTTGAAAACACCTAGATAAATTGTGTTGTACTTGTCCGTGAATCTAACTGTGCTAATCCTTAATATACTCAAAACTTGTAATGCAGCTACGTATTGTGATTAGCTTAACTAGGATGATATGTATCTGCGCATATATTGTAAATATGTATAAGAACAACATGTAAGATATATTTGAAAATACAGATCAGCTGAGAGAGACTCCAATTTGATTACAGTGTTGAGAGTAATTTGGTTCTCATTGAAACATACAAGTTGAGATCGTGTCCATTGGTTTGGCATTGATAGATTACTAGCTTGTGTCTGTATTGACATTTAGAGCTGACGAGATCGTCCCCAGTAATTTGGCATTGATAGATTACTAGCTTCTGTCCGTATTGACATTCAGAGCTGATTAGATCGAGCCCAGTGGTTTGTCATTGATAGATTACTAGCTTCTGTCCGTATTGACATTCAGAGCTGATGAGATCGAGCCCAGTGGTTTGTCATTGATAGAGGGTCAAACGACACAGGGTCAAACGACACTAATTTTAATGATAACAATGATAATTATGAAAATAAATTTCAGAATAATAATCATGATTTGCAATTTGATAATGAATTTGCAACAATACAAACACGACAATGTTTAAGTTATGAATCTAATAAATTCATATTTCTTACGAAAAACTTTAATTGGGAAAACTCCATAGCCTTTCAACCTAATAACAACTTTGATAGTTTTAAATCTTGCAATTTCGAATAACTGAATTAATAGTTTGAAATATCAAGTCTGGTTGCAAAGATAAATAGAATTAGAAAATTATACTTTACAGAGAATAAATAACTGCATTATCCAATATTATTTTGTACGAGGGGAGAATGGCCAGTCACAACAATTTCTCGTCCGAGCCACATTCTCCTCATTTTTTCGTCCGAGCCACCTTTACATCCTCGTCCTTCGATTATTATGTGGTTTTAAAGTTTCTTATTCTTGAAGATGAAACTATTTTTTAAAAATCTTGCCACATTAGGGAATAGAATATGGATAGACTAAAGTATTGCAATGATTTTGTCATGTTGTAATCTTCAAACCCATGAGATTGATGTCAAACTTTATTTAGGTAAAACCAAGGTTATAATGCAAGGAAACTTAATTGCAGTTGCGTATACTTTGCGTACACATTGAAACCAGTTCTCTCTGGGCGGAATTTGCAAACAAGAATAGATGCATCAGTATTCGTTTGGTATTCAAAGAGGTTAAAAGCATTTAATTTTGATAATTCACATTATAGTTTCCTTTAACCAGAATTTTTCATTGATTTTTTATGTAAAAGATGGATCCCATGTCAGGCTATGACATCCGTCTTGAGTTTACATTACCGCCCAGAGAGAGTACACTGCAGTACTAAAAAAGGCGTACACCTCTGAAATAACTTTCCTTGCATTATAACCTTGGGTAAAACTTGAATCTCTTCTGCCTCTGTAATGGCTAACCTTCGCGATATAAAATAAATAGCAAAATATTTGACACACCCCTGCCTATTGTATTATTTGCGGCATTCTACACCAGGAATATCTGAAAATGCGCGTAAAAAAAGTGCACATACCTTGTATTAGAGACCTGGATGAAAGGTTCTCTTAATTAAGGTTTTACTTTCAGGTTGAACGTCTGCTAACCGCCAGAGAGGAGAGTATAGCAGAGGCCCGGAGGATGGCAGAAACCTCTGCCAGACTTAGAGATATTCTCAGGTAAACCCTCCGTCAGACATATTCTCAGGTAAACCCTCCGCCAGAGATATTCTCATATAAACACTCCGCCAGAGATATTCTCATATTAACCCTCCGCCAGAGATATTCTCAGGTAAACACAGTCCCAAAGATATTCTCATATAAACCCTCCGTCAGAGATATTTTTAGGTAAACCCTTCTTCAGAGATTTTCTCATGTTAACTCTCCGCCTGACATATATTCTCTGGTAAACCCTCCGCCAGACATTTTCTTAGGTAAACACTCCGCCAGAGATATTCTTAGGTAAACACTCCGCCAGTGATATTCTCATGTAAACCCTCCGCCAGAGATATCCTTTGGTGAACACTCCGCCAGAGATATTCTTATATAAACCCTCCGCCAGAGACATTCTCATATAAACCCTCCGCCAGAGATATACTTATATGAACCCTCCGCCAGAGATATACTCAGGTAAACACTCCGCCAGAGATATTCTTAGGTAAACCCTCCGTCAGAGATATTCTCATATAAACACTCCGCCAGAGATATTCTCATATTAACCCTCCGCCAGAGATATTCTCTGGTAAAACCTCCGCCAGAGATATTTTCATATAAACACTCTGCCAGAGATATACTCAGGTAAACACTCTCCCAAAGATATTCTCATATAAACCCTCCGTCAGAGATATTTTTAGGTAAACCCTTCTTCAGAGATATTCTCAGGTAAACCCTTCGTCAGAGATATTTTCAGGTAACCCTCCGCCAGAGATATTCTCAAGTAAACCCTCCCCCAGAGATATTCACAGGTAAACCCTCCGCCAGCGATATTCTCAGGTAACCCTCAGCCAGAGATATTCAAAGGTAAACCCTCCGCCACAGATATTCTCAGGTAAACCCTCCGTCAGAGATATTCATAGGTAAACCCTTTGTCAGAGATATTCTCAGGTAAACCCTTCGTCAGAGATATTCTCAGGTAAACCCTTCGTCAAAGATATTCTCAGGTAACCCTCCGCCAGAAATATTCTCAAGTAAACCCTCCGCCAGAGATATTCACAGGTAAACCCTCCGCCAAAGATATACTCATATAAACACTCCGCCAGAGATATTCTCCGGTAAACACTCTGCAAGAGATATTATCATATAAATCCTCTGTCAGAGATATTTTTATGTAACATATATTCTCAGGTAAATCCTCCGCCACAGATATACTCATATAAACCCTCCGCCAGAGATATACTCAAATAAACCCTCCGCCACAGATATTCTCATGTAAACACTCTCCAAAAGATATTCTCATATAAAACCTCCGTCAGAGATATTTTTAGGTAAACCCTTCTTCAGATATATTCTCATGTTAACTCTCCGCCTGACATATATTCTCTGGTAAACCCTCCGCCAGACATATTCTTAGGTAAACACTCCGCCAGAGATATTCTCATTCAAACCCTCTGCCAGAGATATTCTCAGGTAACCCTCCGCCAAAGATATTCTCAGGTAAACCTCCGCCAGAGATATTCTTATATAAACCCTCCGCCAGAGATATTCTCATATAAACCCTCCGCCAGAGATATTCTCAGGTAACCCTCCGCCAGAGATATACTTATATGAACCCTCGGCCAGAGATATACTCAGGTAAACACTCCGCCAGAGATAATCTTAGGTAAACACTCCGCCAGTGATATTCTCATGTAAACCCTCCGCCAGAGATATTCTTAGGGGAACACTCCGCCAGAGATATTCTCATATAAACCCTTCGCCAGAGATATTTTCATGTTAACACATCGTCAAAAATATTCTCATGTAAACCCTGTCCTAGAGATATTCATATTGTTCAGTTTAAAAAAGTACGATATTTTTCAGTATATTTTTCATTCTGACTATAAAGACTATATCTGCACCTTTTAAGGGTTTCTAATTCACTTCCAAATTAAGGAATCTTAATTAAGCACACTGACATTTTTTTATGTCTTTCTCTGAACAAAGGAATGTTGCGCATGATTAAGAAGATACTATAAAGCATTGTCTTTTACCAGGCAACTTTAGTCTTTTTGGGCTGAATCGGGTTCCTCAGTTAAAGTTGGGGTTTAGTTTTTATGCAGAAAATCTATCTTTTTTATTTAACGGCTCTTTTCGTTTCTTAAAGCCTTTCTTTAAATAATTTTTTTTTTCAGAAAGCAGAATTTGAGTTCTCTAATGAACGATGAACTTTGCTGGAAATTTTCAAGAAAATGAATTTTTTTGTTTTGATATAAAGTTTTTCAACAAATATATGTCACCGCATGTTTGTTTTTGCTACTACGATTTCTACCATTTTTGAAATAATGTATTTTTTCCTTGAAACCGGCCAGCTAGATTAATGATTAAAAACAGAAATAACAAAAAAATGCTTTATCTAATATAGATAGAAAATATTTAATTTTTTTAGTTATCACTAAGTTTATTTTTCATTTGTATGTTTTCAGTTTTTCCTGATCTTTGAAATCATCATTTTTGTATTGTGTCTTAAACAAAGAAAAAGGATGTTCTGAAGTGTACATCATACATACAGTATCATATACACAGTACACTGTACTGTACATTGTGCTGTACACTGTACTGTACATTGTGCTGTACACTGTACTGTACACTGTACTGTACACTGTACTGTACACTGTACTGTACCCTGTCCTGTACACTGTACTTTACAGTGTCCTGTACACTGTACTGTACACTGTACTGTACCCTGTCCTGTACACTGTACTGTACAGTGTCCTGTACACTGTACTGAACACTGTACTGCCACTGTACTGTACACTGTACTGTACACTGTACTGTTCACTGTACTGTATACTGTACTGTACACCGTACTGTACACTGTACTGTACACTGTACTGTACACTGTACTGTACACTGTACTGTACACTGTACTGTACACTGTATGAAATTGAACTTGTTTTATTTAATTTTGGAAGGCGCACAGACGCACGGAAAAAATGACATATAACCCAAATTTTGATTTTGGGGCTATTTACATCTATAGATCCTTTGCTGGCTTAGTCTCAACCTTGATGGCGCAGCCAGACTTTTTAAAGTTCCCGGCCTAGCATTGGCCAACTTGACTTACCCCACTAGCACTACCATAGTTTGTCTTTTTTTTTCAATAAACATCAAAAGCGCTGTACTGAATTGACCTAGGAGGAACTAAACTATTGACTTTTTATGCCAATATTTGTTTACACGTTCTGGTTTAACCTTTTTTATTTAAAATGTTAACCTATTAACGGTATATAGATTACAATGTTTAGCAAATGTTTATTTCCTTTAATGTGTTTCACACCCCATTGGCCACTTTTTTTCGATGTTCTAATAAATGTTGGTTATTTAAAAAGAATTTTGCTTAACAAATTTCATACTGGCACAAAGTGAGATTCTGAAGCTAAAATGTGGATTGTACAATTCATAGATTTTATTTGCAGAAGAACAGCTTATATGAAGCAAAGTCAGGTCAACTCTTTAAAGGTAAAACAATTAAATTGCCAAAGTTTTTAAATTTTCGATAAAGAAACTGAGTTTTTCCCACAAATTCTGATTTTATAATCTCTATATCTTGGCAACCTGATAGTGCAAACTTTGATATTTCAAACTATCATTGTTTGAAATATCAAATGTCTCCGACATTGATTTGCAAAGATAAAGGGATTAGAAAATAAGAGGTTGTGACAAAACGCAGTTCCTTTAAGGTTTTCATAAGAACTCTCCCCCACGTGTTCCAAAAAAAATTATTTTTTTCAGTTAAACCCACCCACCTTGTCACTCCCTCTAACCAATTTTTATCCCTTAAATTTATTTTTGTCAAATTTGAACTCTTTACATGTGTTGTTTTATCTAATCAAACTGCATATACTGTCTTTTTAAATTCTAATTACAATACAAATAAATAATATCTGTTTGATTTAGTTTTGTATATTGCATCTTTATATTGTTGTTTACATCCTATGAATATTCTCTAAATGTTGATCCCCAGGCTGAACTGGAAGCAGGTTTAGATCTGTGGAGGAAGCAGGTTCTGTCAGTTCAAAGTCTTAGTATCAGGTAATTGTGGGATATTATGGGCTGATCCCAATGACGTCCCAAAGCAGGGTTGCAACATCCATCCTTCCTGATAAAAGTAAAATTATGTATTTTATTTGATTCACATTTTATTCTATTTCTATACCAAATTATTCAATCCTTTATTATAATGCATGATATAAGAAATCCTCTTGTTATTTTTTAATGTTTTATATTAGGAAAGCTGAAGAAAGAGCTAGAAAGGAATTGGAAAGAAGAAGAGAAAGGTTGGCAGATGAAATGAAAACTAGAGAAAAGAGGTGAAATTCAAAAATATTTTAACAATTTTCCAATTATCTCAAGAAAACATTTGATCCAGGTCTATGCAAAAGGGTTCACAGTGATTTAAAGGTTGCAAGATCTCGCGAAAATATTGTTTTAAAATCAAATGTCGAGGGCGACGCAAAAGTATCCGTGTGTCCGGGATGTAGAATTAAAAGCCAAGGCGTTGAGTCATTTTAAAGTTGACCCGGTCTTGAAAATAGTTGCAACTTTTTATAGTAGTCTGGATCTCATGTGAGTTACCCAGAAAACATGGAACTTCAGAGACATGTATACAGTGTTTAATCCATCTTTATAAACTTACCAACATGTCTGTAGGTATCGTATACAGTTAACATACTACGTGCGTAATAATAAAAATATTGAGATATGTATACAGTGTTTAATCCATCTTTATAAACTTACCAACATGTCTGTAGGTATCGTATAACATACATGCACGCATTATTATTTTTTTATGAGATATGTATACAGTGTTTAATCCATCTTTATAAACTTACCAACATGTCTGTAGTTATCGTGTACAGTTAACATACATTCACACATTATTATTTTTATATGAGATATGTATACAGTGTTTAATCCATCTTTATAAACTTACCAACATGTCTGTAGGTATCGTATATAGTTAAGATACATGCACGCACTTTTATTTTTATATGAGATATGTATACAGTGTTTAATCATTCTTTATAAACTTACCAACATTTCTGTAGGTATCGTATATAGTTAAGATACATGCACGCATTATTATTTTTATATGAGATATGTATACAGTGTTTATTCATTCTTTATAAACTTACCAACATGTCTGTAGGTATCGTATACAGTTAAGATACATGCACGCATTTCTATTTTTATATGAGATATGTATACAGTGTTTAATCCATCTTTATAAACTTACCAACATGTCTGTGGGTATCGTATACAGTTAAGATACATGCACGCATTTTTATTTTTATATGAGATATGTATACAGTGGTTCAATCATTCTTTATAAACTACCAGCATGTCTGTAGGTATCGTATATAGTTAACAATAATATACATTTCTATTTTTATGTGAAAACTTTTAAAAATTACCATGCAGGAGAATATCACAAAAAAGGTACAGTTTTTTCCCAGACGCCGCAAAACATACTTTTTTACTCCCCCTTTATACTCTCTGTCTCCATGCTTTGTAACTGAAGAATGATTTATTGAATTTAGATGCGAGGAGAGGAGAAAGGAGAAAATGGAAAAAGAAGAAGAAAGAATGAAAACTGTGATTCAGAAACTTCAAGTCAAAGATAGAAAGGTTAAAATTTAAAAATAAATGCTGCAAAATTGGAGAAAGGTAGATTTATTAATTAAACCAGCTCCGGTTCACCGACAAAGGGTCAAACGACACAGGGTCAAACGACACAGGGTCAAACGACAAAGGGTCAAACGACACAGGGTCAAACGACAAAGGGTCAAACGACACAGGGTCAAACGACGCAGGGTCAAAACATTGATAGATTACTAGCTGGTGTCCGTATTGACATTCAGAGCTGACGAGATCGAGCCCAGTGGTTTGGCATTGATAGATTACTAGCTGGTGTCCGTATTGACATTCAGAGCTGATGAGATCGTGCCCAGTGGTTTGTCATTGATAGATTACTAGCTGGTGTCCGTGCTGCCATTCAGAGCTAATGAGATCGTGCCAAGTGGTTTGGCATTGATAGATTACCAGCTTGTGTCTGTGTTGACATTCAGAGCTGATGAGATTGTGTTCATTGGTTTGGCATTGATAGATTACTAGCTTCTGTCCGTATTGACATTCAGAGCTGATGAGATCGTGCCCAGTGGTTTAGCATTGATAGATTACTAGCTTGTGTCTGTATTGACATTCAGAGCTGATGAGATCGTGCCCAGTGGTTTGGCATTGATAGATTTCTAGCTTCTGTCCGTATTGACATTGATAGCTGACGAGCTTGCGTCCGAATTGACATTGATAGCAAAATACGATTTAGTTGTACCTGGATTGATACAGTTCTGGAAGAAGTTTTAAGAGTACGGCATTTACTACATACAGTGGTAAGCAATTATATCAATGGAATAAAAATGACTTTCATACTAAAGTTTTGTTTGTCATTAAGATTTTTTCAAATTACAAGGTTACAAGTAATCAAAGAGATCCTTTTTTAACTGACAGCTTCTCTTGACTTCTATGTTTATGTGGATCTATGCTTTTCAACAGCTTATTATAAATCTTTATTGAAATCGAAAGTCGTCTTCATTGTTTAGAAATAATTGCCTACCACTGTAGATTTTTTTTATTTTGGTGGAATAATTTTTAAAAGATATTTTTTTCAAATTTTTCAATAACGACGACGCAAAAATTCTACAGTAAAGTTATTAGAAGTTTTTTGAAATTTGTCAAAAAATCAATGATAGAATAGTTTTTATTTTTCATCATAATATTAAATATTAATAAATCTTTGGGAATTTGTTTATATTTCTTCAAATTCTTCCAATGTCGTCTGTTCAATAAAAATTCGAGAAAATCTACAGAAAATGTTTGTAAACAATGTAACATTTATAGAGAAACCAATAACTAAATAAGATTGCTTATTTTCGATAATAATAGGTATTTTTATTTTCTTAACCTAAACAACGAGCTGATTAGTCCTAGGACTAGCTGATTAGTTTTAGAACTAGCTGATTTATTCCCGGACAAGCTGATTAGTTCCCGGACAAGCTGATTAGTTTTTGGACTAACTGATTAGTTCCATGACAAGCTAATTAGTTCCCGGACAAGCTGATTAGTTCCCGGTTCCCGGACAAGCTAATTAGTTCCAGGACTAGCTGATTAGTTCCAGGACTAGCTGATAAGCTCCAGGGCTAGCTGATTAGTTCCCGGACTAGCTGATTAGTTCCAGGACTGGCTGAT